TCTATCTATCTATCTATTTATCTATCTCTGTGATTACTCCATTTATTCTTGTAATTGTTAGTGTCCTAATGACCCATTGTGAAAAAAACAAGATATATGTGTGACTCCAGAACTCCAAACTGTGCATGTGTGTTTTTCCCCAGGTATGTTTGCTTGTGCATAAATTGTCCAGAATTTGCTTTTTTTAAGCTTGTTTTTGCTTGTTTGTTATGTTCTCCCCCATACTAAACAATGCCCCTCATTTTTTCTGTGTATGGCTACTTGTTTTGCAGCTTTCTTCGCCTTAACTCACAGAGTAGTCGGGATAAGGTGCCGGCCCCAAGGTTAGCTTCACACATGTTTTTTTTGCAATAACCTAACTAGACATGCAATGCTGGGGGCACATCCTCTGAATCATGAACTCATTCATTTATTTATAGCATACCATCCCCCTCCTTGCAGCACCAAGTAACACCTCATTCCTTTTGGCAGCAACCAACATCTCCATGGCCTCATATTTATGCAAATAATTTAACTTTGCAAGCCACATTTAGTTTAAAACCTCTATGTAATAAATAATGACTGTTCTTAAGGGGCTTATTCATGTATAATTGCTTGTCTGGTCAGCCTGATTGGATATTTATCTGATTCCATCAGCATAAACCATGATATAGTTATTATTTTATTCATACTGAGCTTATTGAAGAGAGATCATACTAGATCTGTGTATGACAGAATTCAGAATTAAAAGAATGATTGTTGATTTCATCTAATTAATTTCACGCAAGTGCTTTAAAATCATGCAGAAAGACTTACCAGGTGGTTCTGAGTTATTATGAATCAAATAGGCTTATTTTTAACACAAATATCCTACATTTATTTGCTCCACTTCAGCACTCTAATTAATAGCTAGCAAAAACCCATTTCTGTGTGCTGACTTCAGAGGGTGAACACTTTTAAAGCTAGCTCAATGTTCTATAATGGAGATGAACGGAAACAGTAATGATTGTTCCAGAACATCTCATCTGGAATTGGCTTGTGTGGTTGAACCATCAGCTAGTTTAAGCTCAGGAAGTGATGCTGAGGAAAAAGGAAACATCATACCTTACAGATAAGAACTATCCAGAGCGGACCCTGCCAGACCCTGAGCCGGAGGATGACACCGTACGGGTGTTGGCAGCATCATGCATTACAGATTTACTAAGTAAGCAAGCGACTCTTTCAATTAGGGAACAAAATTAATTTAAAAAATGTAATTCTCCAAATGTTTTGAACTTCTCCTGATCTCATCTGACCTGCTTCAACCACTTTGAAAGCAGCTCAGGAGCTTTAGGAATCTCAAATAAGCCAACACCATCCTTATGAGGGTTAAAGCAAAAATCTGCAAACCAAAACATAAAGGCATACTGTAGCTGTATCTTAATTAAGAAAAACTTCAATAGCTGTCCATAAAAAATAAAACCTGTCCCAGGTCTGTTCCCACATCACTCCTGTATTCTCTCTCAGTAACTAAGCAGCACTAGAGACCTCTTAATGGCAGCTTTTTTTAAATGAAAATGTTTTATAAGGGTCCCCTTCAAATAATTACATTTATCATGGGTTATAACCCCTTGGTTTACAAAAGAAAAGACCAAAAAAAAAAAATTTTTGTCATCAATACTTTATGATTTATTAAGCGAAAATATTCCTGTTTGCTGTGTCTTAAATGTTGTAATTTTGTTAACTTTAAATTTCACATTTCTCTTAAATATTAATAATTATCGTGGTCAATAAAAGTATGAGCACCACTGTTAAATTTCCATGCTTTGTTGAAAAGGATAAAACCAAGGTAATGGTTTTCAGAACATTTTCCACATTTAAAATAAAATACCATAAAACCTGCATGACTAGAAAAAAAAAATATTTTTTGTAAGTGGAAATCGAAAAACATAAAAAAAAAGAAAATGATGCTACTTCATAAATGTTCAAAGCTAAAGCTTTGTCAAAGGACATTTAAATCTTCTTACAGCAATTTTTATCTAAATGTTTTATTCGCTCAAGAGGTTTGTTTTTTTTCTGATACATTTCTAGCATGTTTCCTGCTGGGACTCTGCCAGCATGGCGCACCATGACTCGGAAATATTCACTCACTCTTCTTTGACAAGGCAGATCCCCCAACAGATGTCTGCTTCTGATTAGGGCTCTCTAGGTGCTTAACCTTTGGCAAAGACATTTTTTTTATTAAGATGTTTTCTTTAAGTAGATGTCATGCAAAAAAAAAAAAAGTCCCTCATAATCTTTAGCTGTCTAGCCAAAGCCTGAATGTTTTTATTCCAACACTTACTGGTATTTAAATATGGTCAGGTTCTTTTAATCTGAACTAAGGCAGGAGCTTCAGCTATAGAAAACCTGCACAATAGCATAATGCGTCCCCCATCCTTTGCTGTTGGTCTTATGTTCCTTTGCTCATAACGTGCGTAACACAGGAATATTTAAGAAATATGGCATAAGTTCTTGGTGTACCTTGGTTTTTTGTATACGATTTGATGAAGAATATTGCAAAAAATATTATTTTGAGCTCAGGGTCATCCCAAAGGTATAAGATCCACCTTGTTTTAAAAATGTTTCAATACAAAAAAGGAAAATTCACAAGGTTATGTGAATTAAATATATGACTTATGTTATCCACTGCAACTATTCGTATGATATGCTGATGACTGATGAGATTATGCCTCATTAAATGATTAAAACAACACACGACTCAAGCTCTTGAAATATTTTCTACATATTCATTACCAGAAAAATCCTTGACTTTGACAATTATTCTCATTTTCTTGTTTGTTCCAATAAAAGACTGATGCAGTGAATGTGTGTTATCACTCCAAATGTCATAATGGTGTACATGAAACTTGGATCCTAAATGTTATGTTTGTTCTTCCAGCTGGCATTGCCATTTTTAGTCCTCCTTGTCATTTGCTGTGGTTAATGAGCACTGGACATTTCCCTGAGCTCTCTTACAGACCAGAGGTTATAAAATGCCCTCTAAGTTAAACCCTGTCGATGTTTAATCAAATCCTTCTATCATCTATTAAGTGAAAATTCACCTAAACTACATCAAAGGGTAGTAGTGTAACTAAAACATCGCCTCTTTGCTTTTATGTTTAAACCAAGTTAGGGTCTGATAAACTAATGCTTCCTGCATAAAACCTCTTATTTCCACCTGTCAATTACCCTTTTTTTAATTTGTAGCTCTTAGTGCAGGGTGTGAACATCCATGCTCGTTTCACTGAGTTCTCAAACCAGGTTAAAAAAGCCCTCCTTATATGTGATTGCATAGCTCAATAAAGTTGAATGAGTCTAAAGATGTTGTCTATTCCAGTTTAAGGACTCTTCTCATCCTTCTGCGCCTTTTGAACAATTAATACTTCTTTGTCAGTACAAATAATGTAAGTAATTGCCTGAGTGTGGGGGTTTGAGTAACATATTCAGTACCGCAAAGTAATGCAGAGAAATGTATTGTGATAATCTTTGAGAAGAGTTTAAAATGGCAAATGACAATGAATTCTAACTGTATGTAGTGCCAAATCACAACATGTCACCTCAAGGGGCATGAGATGGCATGTTGTGAATTAGTGTGATATAAATAGACTAAATTTAATTAAAAATATTTTAGTAGAAAGGGCTAAAAGAAATGTTATTGATATCATTTGATAATTAAATTATTTGTCTGTTCATTTAATATATCACAAATGACTGTATCAATAACAGATGATGGTACACAAGGACATTTTCATTCACTATCTTCTATTTACTATATATATGGTAATTAGATGAACCCTCACTACCAAAGTTGCCAATACCATTTTGAACATAAGAAGAAGAAATTCGAAAATTACATGATGGCAGAAAGGATTAAGCCTTAAGCATATATCAAAGCAAAATTCAAAAATAATACTAATCCAAACATGGCTAACTAAAGGCAAAACTCTACCAAATATTAAAAAAAAAAAAGATTAGAGAAAGCAACCCTTCCGGCTGCTGACTTAAATTAGGTAATTTATCATAGCTATTTTATGAACTGTGCTCTGCTGTCATCTGTCAGCTTTTGGTTGCTGTTTTAAAATGGACATGTTTAAGTGCATAAAGGAACCATCTACCACAGAACATTTAATACCAACTATGTGTAGTGATAAAAAGTTTAATCATAGAAAATAATCTAGCATTAGGTCTATAAAATGACTCGCATTGGCTACATATAAATGCCTAAATAATTCAGATATAACTTATAATAGGTATTTGATTATCATTTAATTAATTAATATAAATGTCTGAATTAATAAGCCATTAAAATCAGACCAATTTACTTATTGGACTGAATCTTAAGCAGTTAAGAAAGACAAACAGTGGCTGATGTTCTTAGTTCTGCCAGTTCAGACTAATGTGTTACAGCTACTTTCTTTCCTTTAGAGACAGCTGAAATTCAGTTTTTTAATGGTCTGTTAAAAAAAAAGAAAAAAAAAAAAAGGGAAGGGTGGAACCAAACAGTGATAAAAAAACAACAACAACAACACCTGTAATTTGTGTGGTTGTTCAACCTAAAATGAAAAACACATCAACAAAAGCCATTGATTATTTTAAATGCTGCACTCTTTGAATTCTGAGCATCTACTTTAGCTGTATGGAAATGTCTAAGTGGGTTCTGAGCTGTAAGACTGAAGGCCCTCCTGATAAACGCAAGAAAAGAGGATACAAAACAATAAACATAAATGTACCAGCTTGATTTTAACAAATACTTGTGAAATTTAAGTGGATACGCAGAAAATAATTTTGCATACACCAAATTTCTTTGCATACACCAAATGTACTTTTTTAGATACACTAGAAATCTCAAAAAATTTAACTGCTGTCCCTTCTCTTATTCTTTTGCTCACAATAATATTTACTGACTCTTTTTACAACAGCGACAATTAAATCGCCTAATGGGTGCCTTTTATGACATAATTAATGGGGCTTCTTAATGAAAATTAGCACCACTTGGCTCTATCAGACGTGCTCGGCAGTGACTGCAGACAGATAAGCAGGGCAAGCCTCCAGCTCACTGAGATAAACCACTGAATCATTGAAGCGTCAAGGCTTAATTTTTGTTGAATTATTTACCCATATGCACAATATTAAATCTGTAGGTCAACACAAAGAACAAATTAAAAGATTCTATTTAGGTACTTTAACTGTTTCAGCTTCTGTCTCATAATGAAATATCATCCTTGATTATTCCTTGTTAGCTTTTTACCAGTGTACCAGTGTAAATGTGAGTGATGAGGTAATCAATCATCAATTTGCTTTGTACCAGCAAATGGATGTGATATTTGTTCTTAAAAGGTTAAATTTCTCACCTTACCTGAAGGGAGTGATTACTTGTTTCCCTAAGAGTAGCTAGAAAAGCTGTCACATACATTGGATTGGTTTGAAATGATTTCCACATTTCCAGTGGTAAAAATAGTAATGACACCATCACACAAGAAGAAACTAAACAGGCACATTTCCTGTATGAATGAGTCATGGTGCTCTGTTACTGTAGAAGCTATGAAAGTAACAGATCATTTAAAGTCAGATGGAGTTCTGGAAGTAAAAAAAGGATTATGTGCAAGATTATGTGCTTCTCCAGCCTGATCTGGTACAAGTTTTCTGCTGGGATTCTGCACTGATCTGCCTTGTCTTCTCTCAATCCTCTCTAAACAGCTGTGTGCCAGCCTGGCTGTAAGCATGGAGAGTGTGTGGGACCCAACAAATGCAAGTGCCATCCAGGCTTCACTGGCAAGACCTGCAATCAAGGTGAGTTCTCAGATGCTGCATTGATATTGGTTTATTTCTATAAAGGCACTAAAAAGGGAAAGTTAATCCCAATTTCTAGAATAGAATAGAAAATAAATTTATTGTCCCACAATGTGGAAATTCTGGTGTTTACAGCTGCAAAAAGATTGTAGAAAAAATGGTCACACAAATTGGAACATTAGAAAAATTTATAAGAATAACATAATAGTGAAGAGTTAAAAGATAAACAATAATATACTGTAATGCAAAGTGTTTTAACAATATACAACAGTGCACCTGGAGGATAAATAACCAATATACAGCTATGGACATCTTGACCATAATGGATATTTG